TCCTTTCATCCGAGACGCATCTCTTACATTCTTACAGTGATGATGGGACGAGACCTAAAACTATGTCCACCTTGAAAGCGGTTTTGTTATTTCATGAGCCATTTGCCAGAGGGATATTCCAGAAATGCAAATCAATATTTTTGAAGGAAATTCCCTTGATTTCCAATGACATACAAGCATTTGACTGGAGCTTTGACAGGCTCTGGTTTTGACATCATTGATCACAAAACTTGTTGCTTGTGGTTACAAGACCATCCGTGATGAATGCAATGTTAAAAAGCACTCTGCTTCTGTGATTTGGAAAGCCTTAGAAGGTGGTTAGAGTGCAAGTCCATTGTGACTTGGTGATGTCTGTATGATGGAGGCTGCCTCCCGTTATTTTCTATTTTGAAGTAGTAATGAAAAATAGGATGACTGTCTTTAAGCACTATTTGTGCACATTGCTGTAAGGTATTCTTATAGGCAATTTTATTGGTTTTAATGGATATACAGACAGAGGAAAGGATACAACACTGATTTATGTGGTTGATGAACTAGCTGACTTTTTTGAAATCTGCCTGTTTCATGCTTAACAATTCTGTAATGGTGACTTAAAATTGCCACTTGACTCCATGCCCTGTGGCAGCCTTAGAGAATGAGACTGTCCCCTAAATGAGCAAAGCACAGCCTTTTTTTCCTCATCTGTTACAAGAGGAAGCCACAAACTGGAAAAGAGCCTGTTTGCATTAAAAGAAGAGGCCACTAATAGATGGTCCTTCTCTAGAAAGGTCACAGAGTTGTGCATGTTAGTGAGGGAGAAAAAAATGCCATGTTGTATTCAACAGTGTGGTACTCTTTATAGAATGTTCCTTCTTTTTTTTTTTTTTTTTTTTTTTTTAAGGAGAAACAGTAATGCAAACTTGATGCACTCTCAACAGCTCTATCAAGGGTTGGATTAACCCTAACAGCCCTGTTTCTGAGGAGGTTTAGGCACAAAAGAGGCCAAATAGTGTCTTATGAATTCCCACTGAAATGTTAGTAGCATATATCTAGATATTTCAGCCCTAAATGTCTTTCAAGACCAGTACCTAAAACATCATGGCTTGATTGCCATAACTGGTATGGAACAGCACTTGTAACATCTGAAGGCTCAAGCCAGCATGATTTATATATAAGTGTTTGCGCCTGTGCTTGCGTACCTGAGTAAATATAGGTCTTTGCCTACATATGTACTGTCTGAAATGCTATATATAATCTAAAATTTTTCCAGCATTGCTTTTTAAAAGACCACAAATACTTTAGCAATGTGCACAATATAAAGCTTCTTACTTTAATGTGAAACGGACTGCACTTAACTAAATCCTATGTAATATTAGAACTTTTGCCACACATTCAAGTTCACTGATTAGCAAAAATAAGGTAGCATTCCTAAAAAAAATAGGGTGCAGACCTCAAAAGTGTTTCTAAAGCCACTGCACTTCATCAAAATGAATAGCCTAATTTTGATCTGTATTGATAAACTTCAGTTGTCATGGATATCAGCAGGATAGGGAATGTCCAGTGCCTAAGGCCATGCATCTTTATGAATTACCCATGGATTTGGGTGCAGTGTTGTATCCTTTACCAAGGTAGCTTACTTACTGGGAAAGATAATGGTTTTGGAGATTCAGATGATTTTTCAGAAACCTCAAATTGAGAGTTAACTGGGGAGCATCCGAATTAGACCATTCTGGCTGCTTTCCCTTTCCCTTCCAATTACTCATAGCTATGTTTGTTGTTTTGAATGCATTGTTAGGCTGAAAGGGACAGATCTGGAATTTTATTTGTCCCCAAATCAGTTTGCATCTTTGTTTCTTTGAACAGGTTACTTAGTGTAAAGATAAACATGGAGCTGAAGCAACTGGTCATGCAGCAGTTGTTGCGAGACTGCAGAAAATGGGGAATAATTCTGACATCTCTTATCTTGAACGTGCTTTCAACTTACATAAAAGCTTGATGCACACCAACATCCATGGTCTTCCATTTACTTTTTGCTACCATTCACATTTTTGCCTCTACCATATGAGAACAAAAGGAATTTAATTTCCCCTCAGCGTCTCTGCTTCTCCTTGCCATTGATTTCTTGTGTCTAACTTCAGCAACTAACATGCTTCACATCCAGTGGTTTCAGTTTTACATTTGAAGAATTATTAGGATATACTCCAAGCAAGTACATAGCCCTTAGAGCTTGAGGTATGGAAGAGACAAGAGAGATGGTGTTGTCAGAGTGCAGAAGGCTTTTTGATCTGGAAGGGTGAACTTCTCATGAGGCTCTTGTAACCAACACTGTGCATAAAAGGAACTGTGTGGTGCAAACCGGGTAACTGGCTAAGTGCCCAGGAACAAATTCTTCCTGCCTTGGAGACTACAAGTATGCACTCAAAGGCCACCAAGTTACAATGGCTTAGTATTGAAATAAGTCTCCGTGAAGGTGGTTTAAAACAAGGTAGACCAGTCCGAAGTTGTGCATATGGTTCATACCATAGTCTTAATACCTCATTTACTGTGCACCTATACAATTTCCAAACTGTAATTCCTCTTATATATTTACAATGAAAACACTGGAGTTGTTCAGCTGATTAAATGTCTGCAAACCCAGGTCTTTTCAACAAAGGCAGCATTCTCTCTTTTCATTAAGGAGCGTTTTAGAGATGGGTTGAAACTTGGATTGTTGTCTGCAGGGCATGTGAGGCAGTTGAGGCAAAACAACGTAGCTGATGCTTCAGAGCTGCAAATTATATAAACTCAGTGTAGCTATACCGACAGTGAAGTCTGCCAGCTGGCAGGACTGAGACCTGTCTATAAGGCTTGAAAATCCACTTCTCATTGGAGATAGTGACAATAAATACTCTGTGAGTTTTGCTCATCTGTTTGTTTTAAGGACTATGAGTTAATCACATTCTTGGATATTTTATGTCTGGATTTGGACATACATATTCTTCATTTCAAACAGTAAACCTATATTCAAAACCATTTAGGAATCTCATTTGGTGTGGTACATTTTTCCCACTAAACATGCTACTGTCTTCTACACTACAGTTATGTTACTGCACCTCCATCAGAATTATTCCATAATGCATGACATTAGTCTATGCTCTGGAGTCAGTGAGAATAACCTAGCTTCTTAAAATAGCATCTCCAGAGTTAACACAAAGGAAGGATCAAGACATGTAACCTTGAAGCTACAGTTCATTTAAAGACTGGGTTTGATGGTAATATTCTGCTCTCTACTACCGACTTTCCTCTCTAGAGCACAGCTAAATATTAAGATTTATCTCTTTATCTCTGATGGCTTTCTCCATCCTTGGACATCCACCCTACAGAATTTAGCAAAGCCAAGAATGAACAGTGTAGAGATGATTTTTAACTCTCTTTAACCATTCTGTTGCATCTTCCAGCCTCAGTTCTGCACAAAGGTCAGATTTACTGGATAAAAAGTTTCAGTTTGAATTCACATTTGTTAAACATTCATTTTAAGCCTCAGCTATAGTTTGCAAGCAGTAATCCAGCTTCAGCCTCTGGAGAGGTGGTAGTGGTTTCCTCACAGGCATACTGTTTCCATGTCAAATTATTGTTGTAATTCTCATGCTAGTTTTCTGTTAGAGTAGATGAAATCTAACTTTGGTGGAATTAAAAGTACACCCAGGTAAGACATGTAGAAGACATTGAATGTTCTCTATAGTTTGGGAGCTTTGAAATCTGTAGAAGACCCTTGTGAGGTTTCCTATGTATGTCCTACTTTTTAGCTTTAAGTTAATTGACTTTACAAGTACATAGTCACAAAAAATGCAAATCTTCTTCATGTTCCTCTAAATCACTGAAAAATAAGGAATCCAATGAGCTGTGTAAGACACATCTACTCAAAATAGGGAAGAGAAACAAAGCTGACCTCTCACATGTTAAACCAGTACAAGAGCCCTAAAAAGTAGAGACCAAAAGTCAGATGAAAGAAAACTACTACCACCCATTACAGTCAATTGATTTTAATTATTTTAATGTGTTTTGGACAAGGACTGTAAAGGAGATGTCATACTTTCTCTTTTATTTCCAACTTGTTTTAAGATTATTCCTGGGTTCCAGGAGGTGATCCTGGAATATCTCAGACCCCTTAGAGAGGCCAGGGGAAAGTGGTTTTGGTTTGGTGGTGTTAGCAGTAAAAAGTAGAGCTATAGGTAACAAGACAAAGACATTGAAAAAAGGCGACTAGACTAAGACTTTTGGACTTGTTTTCAGTTGAGGAGTAGAGAAACAGAGTTGCTTTTCTTTATGAAAAGCACAACAATGGTTGTACGAAAAGAAATCCCCCAATTTATCAGTATCAGCTATAGGTAAGTAGGTATGGAGCATAAATAATAGATGGTATGGCTCAATTTTTCAATTTTTTTCTCTCTTTCCCATACAATCTTTCTACTTTCACTTTGGTTAAGTTTTTACTGTATTTTCAGTACTTTATTTCATTGATTTGTTTTTACATTCCTTCTCCTACTACTACATGGTTGCCAATCTTATTTGTAGTGAGGTTACATAGAATTACTTGAGCAGGGTGCACAAAGATTCTTAACGAGGCACAGTTTTAATTTGCATGAATCAAATTCTACCCTTATTGTGTTTCCCAAAGGATTCCCCTTTAGCATATTTAGAGACAACCCTCAAACTCTGTCATTCCCTGTGTGTTATCAGTGACATAAACCCAGAACCGTGATCTTTTTCGTTATGGATCTACATTTCCTTGGTAATAGAGCATAACATCATTCCCCTGAATCAGCATGCTCATTTTACTCCTGTTAAGAACCTCTGAGAAACGTAAAAAGTCTTTAGAACTGAATTGTAACTACCTTTGCCTCAAATTTGTGTACTCTCTCATTTGCATCAACTTGCCAGACATCAAGGTGTTCGGTCTGACAAGATGGTCTTCAGCCACATCATACATCACTCATTTAATCCTGGGAATGTTTAACTTTTTCTTTCCCCTTCCACCCTAGCACCCTCCCTCTTCCTCCCAGATGCAGCTGCAGTCCATGCACAGGACACATGCGGTGAGACTCAGCTTGTTTGCCTTTAGCTGTCTAAAGTCTCGTATTTAAACTAAGCAGTCTAGTCATCGTCTATGGTCAAACTGAGAGACCAGGGCACCTCCGTAAGACAGTGCATCCCATATGTCTTAGACGCCTCTGTTACACAGGTCAGCTCAGCCTCTGGAAGTGCCTGTTTCTTTCCATGATTGAGTTAAAGGTGATAGTTCAGCTTAAATTTGTCTTAGATACGTATAGTTAGATGTGACCAATTCCATTCTGTGTGTGCCTACAGAGATCTGAGGATCCTCCCCTAATTAATGTAATGTTTTGATAACCATAATCCATTTATATTAATTTTCTCCTATTTAGTTATGTTTTCCTCCTTCCCATTTCTTTCTGGTTCCTGCCTCCTCTGTCTCTTCTCTCTCCCTTTCCTTCCACCAACATTTCTATTTTGAAAATAAATAAATGAATAAATAAAGGGTTGGGTTTTTTTAAAGGGAAGAAAACTATCAATTCTGTACGCTAGAGATGTTGGGTTCACTTTATTATATCTAACATCAGAGAGATGATTCTACCTAAATTAGATAGGATGACAGAAAAAAATACTAACAGCACTAAAATATTAATGTTTTCCTAAGAAATGCTAGCAAAGTTTTCCATCACAAGCCCAAGGGTAAGTGTCCCCTCATTGGGTGAGGAACAGTAGTTAATTCTTAGATACTGTTTTCAACATCAAGTCTGTCCTTTTTGATAATTCTAGCTAATATAAAGCCCTGTCATGTTATTTCTACTCAGTCGAAAAACCTATAATGAAAATCAATCCCTGCCAAATAAAACAAGGCATAAGCAGTAAAGGAAACATGGGTGGTTTGTTTTTTTTCCAGATTACCATGGCAACGTTAAGCATGCCATGAAAGAATACAATCCCTTACAACACCCCATGACTAAGAGTTTTCAAAGTGATTATTGATTTTTAGATGTTTCTTTTTCAGGTTATGTACCTTAAAATACCTTCATAAGCATTGCTTTTCAACACACACTGAGCAGCCCTCTTGTGGTAAAAACTGATCAGTGTTTCAGATCAGGTGATCAAAAAATGAGACACTCAAACCCCATAGTCACTTCTGAAAGTCTCAGCCATAGTAAAAAAGAACTATCTCTAAAAATTTCCTCTTTGTTTTTGATCAGTCTTAGCTGGCAATTAATGCACAACACAGCCTTGTGAAGAACAGAGGCGGTGCAAAATTTTATCACAAAAGTGATACTGTAAAAGGAACAATCATTTTCACATTTACTTTCTGAGCATCATCCAAGAAATGAGATTGATTTTGCAGGTTGAAACATGTTTACTATTCCTATTTGCTGGATGTGTACATGCCACGATACTGTATTCTTTCCAGCTCTTCTGCTATAATCTTTAATAATGACACAGCTCTCAGGTTTTGATTACCCAAAAGGAAACAAACCAAAACAAAACTCTAGTAAATGGGATTGGCTTAAAGGAGTTAACGGTGGGGAGAAATTTAACTTGTTTTCAGTTTATTCTATTTTACTGTTCAGCTTATAAACTGCATCTTCCATCTACGGCTAAACGGACACAAATCATAGATATTAGCAGCGCAACAGAAACAGCGTTTGATTTGTTCAAATAATGTTACGTTTGCCTTGTAGGCAATTGCTTTAAAAAAATCATCATATTATCCCTTACAGTCAATGGAGATTTAGTCAGGGTAGCCAGCGGTGTTTGGTGTGCTGTTCATCCCATCCTAAATTGGACATCTAAAATAGGTCAGATAGACCCCAACCAATCAGTGCGTATTTCTCTCATGGCTACTTACTTTCTCTGTTCTCAAGGGACCAAGGATATCCAGTTTATTTAGACTTCTATACTGTAAATATCCAACCTTCCCTGAGGTGAATCCCACCAAAACAACCATGTGTTGAAACTAAGACAAAACAAAAAATCTCCCTTCGAAAGTCAACAAGAAATTAAGCATGTCAATCTTTACATTTTTCAGCCTACCATGACAGATACAAAGTCTCTATCCCCCTAATCCCTCAAAATGCCTTCCCATGCTGTTTGAGATTACTTTTCCTGGCAGCTGATTTGAATTAGCATCTCTCTAGCTAGTTGTAAATGTAAACATCCCATTCTCCATAGCAGCTCTTTCTAGAATACAACATGTAGAGATCATGGTCCTGGTCCTTAGTATATGTGCCTGCTGTTTTTATGACCCCACCTGTCTTAGTATGTGTGACAAAAAATAAGTGGTACCTCTGAATTACCAGTCAGACATGCAGTTTCCATACTGCTCTCCCCTCCCCATGCATCAAGGAAGCTGGGAAAAAAAGTGCTTTAGTGTCCTTACTCATCACTAAAAGAGGGGATCCACACTACCGTACTTACACATGAAAATGAGGACCATCTGATCCAACCTCATCTTAATCTCCATCCTACAAGTTCGTGTTACTATTTAATTGTTCTCCGCAAGCGTGCAGTCAACTTTCATTTAGTATATTGTTCTGTTACCTTCTGTACAATACCAGACTGCAAAGGTCATGTGTATTTTGGATGCGTAATGCTGCCCGCCTGCCTCCAGGTTGTTCAACCTTTGGTTTGTCTGTAAATCAACACATCACAATTGCCAGCAACAGCCAGTGCCTTTTAATTTTTTTTTTGTTTATTTTTGCTTCAGTCAAGCAGCTGGTTTGTGCTGTCATTTCATTCTGTCATGTCCGCTTTCCATCTTTGTGATGTGTCTCATGAAATGTGTTGAAAGTGACCTACCTTGGCCTGTTCACAATATGCTGAAAAAAATGCTAATCTTGTCATATTTAGCAGCTGCGTTCAGAAATGCTACTGTAAGCCTAAGAGGGCTAACCAGCACTCTTGCAAGATGTCAGAACTATCAACCATTACCCTGTAAGTGTACGCAATCCTGTGACATTACTGTGTTTGTATGACGCATGTTGCAAGTAAATGAATGGATAGTAGCAGAGGGGTAGTAACCAGAGAGCAAGCATTCATTTAGTTCTTGTTGCATGTAGAATTTTTTGTTGTTGTTCTGTGCTTTTGCTGATGCACCACAATTAAGGATTTAAAGGTTATTATTTTGTTTTTTTAATTTTGTAATTATCACTGATGCTATTTATCGTTTTGGGTAGTGTCTGTATAGAAACTACTAATAGTTAGTCTTTATTATACAGCAAAGAGGAGAGCACTGGTTATACTGAGAGTAAATATTTCACCTGAAAGTTTGTTAGAACAAGGGGAGCAGAGCAGGATTGAGTGAAGCAGATCCTTGGCTGGTGTAAAACAACTTATGTCCATTGAACTGAGTGAAGTTGTGTTAGTATACACCCAGGGGAGAGGAAAGGCTAAGGTCAACCTAATATCAAAATATTATGTATCTAGTCAGCAGTCTTTGTCAAAGATTTGCCTGTGGAGTGTGAGGCATCTAGAAAAGTGAATAAATGCCATTTAGTCTAGCGACATGTGAATTGCTCACTTTCTCATAGTCCACCTCACCTTCTCTTACTTGTACAAGAAGCCCACAGGATTTGTTTAGATGAGGCGTACTTTTCAGAAATCTCTTATACAATATGTTTCCTGATAAACTTTCCCCTGAATTTCACAGCAGTCTCATGAAGGCAAATCAACTCTCTGAGAGGTGTCCTGCCACACAGATCCAAGAGTCCAGCATTTTCCTGAAAAATACTTAGTAGTTGTCTTTGACACCATTAAGGAAAAAAGATTTTGTAACTTACAGCTGCATATTTTGTTATGTTTGTCAGCTAGAAAAAAAAACATTTAAACCATGAAAATAAATTTTCTCTGTGATTTTGCATCTCCTCAAAGTATTTAAGAAATAGAGCTATGAAGATGCTCAAAAGATTCAGTCAACAGCCAGACATTGTGCAAACGCAGATAGAAGAAATAGGGAATAGAAGACCAATCAGCAGGTTCATATTCTACATTGAGAGAAGCTTGAAGTCTAAGAACGGTTAGGTAAAACTAGGACCTACATTTAGGAGGAGATAGGTTGAAATATGAAGTTCACTACTTAACCGATAGTCTGATCCAGCATAGACTTCACCTTGGGCCTTTGCAGAGAAACTAATTTCCTATTAAGGAATTGCAGTGTTTCAGAAAGATGGCAGACTGACAGCTCTCTGAGTTGAAATCCTCTACCTAGTAAATGGTAAGATGAGTTCAGCCGAAACAGGAGCCTGGAAAAACTCTGTACACTTCTAGTAAACATAATTAAACCTTACTTTTTGTGTTAAAATATGAAAGTCTCAGTAAGCTTCCACTGCTTTTCAAGTCCTTAGTCTGAAGTTGTGATTTATGTATGGGAAAATGGAAAAGCTGTAATAAATTACTGTGTTTAGGTGTCACCTCAGGTCTTTGAAAGTGATCCTCCTGATCTAACTGAGCTTTTGGAAAAGACAGGGAGATTACTGAGGTTCCTGAAAGTCGTGTTAACCATGTTTAGTATCCTTTTGTTTATTAAACTTTTGTTTATTAAACATGAGCTATACTAAGCATTTAATCACTAATTACATCCTGTATCTTCATGGTTTGCTCTTTATCCTTCTATCTGAAATATCGTCATGATTATTTTTTGTACATGTTCATCACTGAGTTACAGCCAGAAAGATGGGACTCCTCTAATCTAAACTTTACAAGCCTAAAGTGCAGAAATTTATATGACGAACTCCAAATTCCATTTCTAGACAGTGGAGAGACTTAAGATGTGATAAGGTCTTCCTTAGAGACAGATGATTTGTCCTTGTGCATAAGTGCTTGTTACTCTTCACTGATAATAAAGGGAATGTAGGTGTGGAATTAATTTAACTAAAAATGGATGTCATCATTGCAGATATGCTAGTCAGTATATATGTCAATAGATGTATTCAGTACGTACCCATGGGGTTTACCACAGGAGCCACCTCCTCTTAAAGAAGCATCTACAGTCAGCAAGAACTATGCCTTAAAAATGCATTTTTCTCTGCATTGGCTCTAGAGACATTGTGTTAATAATTTTGATATCGGTATCTATAGTATGTATGTCCAAACCTTGGTGAGATGAATGTTGTTCTTTGTGACCACCACAGGCCTTGATGTCTTCACTACAAAAGTTGATATTTGATCAATTTAATATCACTTAAGTCTCAGCATTTAAACTGAACAATTACTTTGAAGAGGCAGGTCTAAATAGCAAAACAACAACTACATAGTCTTTCTTCCAAGGCTATGAGTTGAAGATCTTTTGCTTCTTTTGACAGTCCGTGATATTTTGTCTCAAAAAAGTTGGGTGGTAAGAACCTCTAAGACCAAGGCAACAAACTATTTGCCAGAGTAAAAGTTATTCTGTATTTTATCCTCACCTTAATAGCACACAGTGTCACCTGTCAAATCATATGTAAATTACAACGGCTTTTTTGAACTACATAACTTTGCAATTAGTCCAGCAGAAGCAGCTACAGTCCCAGCAGAAATGGCACAAGACACATCTTCAGTGCAGTGGAGATACCTGGAACTGACGGGAGAGTATGCTCTAAGCTAGTTTTTACCTCTCTCAGAGACAGAAAAAAGAATGACAACCACAAATTTCCTTACACAATTGCTTCTGGAGCTTCAGATCCCCTGATGTAGAGGACCCATGTTTTCTGATGGCCTCCTTCATTCATTCTAAATGACGTAATCACGAATCCAGCTCAGCAGTTCTTAGAGTTGTATCTGAAGGTTCTGAATCCAGAGATATATCTTTGTTACAATCCATTCACAGACACTGGAAGAATCTATTTAGACCATTTAGAACCCATTGGTCCTTTTTCTCTATTGCACAGTTGCTTAAAATATTTTTTTTTCATCAGATGTACAGTCACTGTGTTTGTTTAGATCACAGCATTAATTTGTTCTCTAGAAACCTGTTCTAAAATGTGGAATAGGAACACAACGGAACATCCAGTGGAAATCACTGGAAATTCTATTAATCAATGCAATGTGATACGCATTTTCATTTCCAGTTCATGCCCAGTTATATCCTATGTAATATCCTTAGACACTTGACCAGCCTCCTTAATAAGTGTTGATGTGCAATGGAAAAATAAAGGGAAGGTTCCTGCAGACACTGGTCAAAGTTAGACAACCTTTTCACTTTCTATTTCTTTACTATAAAGATGTTTTTCCATAATTTAGTAGAGGAGTGAGGACACCATTACCTCTGTCTTTTTGTACTAACACTTTATGGAAAGGCCACATTCATAGCCATGCTATTGGAGAAAATCTTATGTTTAAAGTGTTCTTAAGGAAAATAACAGCTGAAAAATAGAATGTCAGCCTCAACAAAAACTGAAATACAACTTGTTTTTTTTATAAAGTAACCTTAAGACATTCCTCTACCTTTTGGAACATAAACAACATTTTTATTAGACCTTCTGGAGAACATCTCTCATCCAAACAGACAGTTTAAGCCCAACTGAGTGATTATTGTCCTCAGGGAAGAAAAGAGAATTAATATCTTTGGCTGTTATACTCCTGAGAATTTTGCTGTATTCTTTAACATCTTCATTTTATCATTGAGCATAAACTTACATCTCTCACAGGTGCTGCTTTAAGTCTTATTTCTTCCTAATGCTCTTGAAAAAACACAATTCACCATCATCCATAAAGCCATCAGTAATCTCTTGAGTTTTTCTTGTAATTAAAATCTTCTTTTCCTCTTTATAGATCTTATCTATAAACTTCAGATGTTTACTTTCATGTATTTTCTTCCTGACTTCAGTGACAATATTGAAGACAGTATCTCAAATAAGTTGATGATGACATTATATTTCAAGATCCGACAAACTAATTATATGATTAATCTGTTATAATCAATGTCAGAAAACTGACAATAGAAAAAGTCTTCCTCCACCTTGTTCCCCAAATCAATCTCCTATGACTGCAGTGAGATACAACATACTAATAAACAGTTGTAGTCTGACTTTTAAATCAAAATAACATTTATCCTTTTATTGTTGTTGTCATTAATTCTAAATAAAAAGGGTAACAGATTGTGAGAGATGATACTCCTTTGTCCAGTTTACTACCTTCATTTGAGGGTTTTTTTTATTCCATGTTTAGTTCAAGACTCTTATGTTCGCTACATCCTTTTTTATTTATGGAGATAGTATTATTCTACAATCTTCTCCACAATGTTTCTGTTCCTTTTCATTAATCCAACTACATGTCCATAGAGAAAAAGCAATGGAAGGTACCTTGAAAGGTGTTTTAGTCCTTTACACTGGGTCACTCCTCTGTTGCTTGCTTTTTCTAGAGATCACCAAAGTTGGAGACTCTGTATTCTCTTCATCAACCGGTTCCAAGGTTGTTCCTCTCCTGTTAAAAAACTTTTGGTCAATGACTAACTTGATAATTCACAAGAACCGTGTCCTCTGGTTTGTGGGATCTTTCAGCAAGATTTGAGATTTGATGTGCATCAGACTAAGGAATCATGTGTGTTTAGTATAATCTCAAGGCAAGGGTCGTGATGTATTTATCACCATTAATGCACAAACTATGACTGAGGGACACCAGCAATGAACGGATGTCCCATTTCCAGCTTAGTGCTGGATATAACAGCATAGGTTCATGGAATTCTTGGAGGTGTATTAATTAAGTCATCACTTTCAGTAAGACAAACGCATCATTTTGGGGATATTGTTGAGCATATATCAGCAAATTCTAACATGTCTGTAATATGCCATATAGATATAAGCAGAGCGAACATTTGAATTTGGGAAAGTATGCAGCTCTTCCAAAAATCTTTATGGCTTTTTAGCTTCTTTTGTCCTATATCTACTTCTTTAACTTACTTGAAAGAAATCAGTCATAATTCTTCCCCCTTGAAAATGTCCTGGAGGTTATTTTAGGCCACTTTGTTTATAATAAAGCACTCGCCTTATTTTCAGACCAACATTTGCTTTCTCTTGGGACTTTTTTGCTGCTCAATCAGCAAATGACACTGACCAAAACTGGTGCATAAGTCTTGGCTGGAACCCTGCTTTTGGGGAATTCCATCCATATTCTGCTAAGTGCTTGCAGATACATACATTCCTTTCCAGCCCCTTTGTTTATACCTACTGAGTTTGATTTCTCTCTAAAACCTCTTTATTCTGATGCAATGGAAATTAGTTACACTATGAAATTACACTTAGGTTTCCAACAGTATAAATCAGACCAAAAAATCAAGGCCTTGAGGAATAGCCATTAGTATGAGAACATACAGGGATTTTTTAGCTTTATTTGTATTGCTGTTCTGGAATTTTTTGCTATGCAGAAATAAATTCGCACACACACGCACAAAAAAGTGATTTTAAACACTCTACTGGGATTAAGGAATTGGGTGGGAGGTTTATTATTGTGTTATGGTAGCAGTCTGAATCCCTTAGCAAGATTACCTTCCTTGTGTTTGGCACGGTAGAAAAAAATCCCTGCTTATAATAATGCAAATTAAAATAACAGGACAGAGTATTAAGCATTACTAATGTGCTATTACTGTAGCAGTGTGAAGAAGTGGGAGCAAACTACAGCGTGTGTGAAATCACTGTTTGGGAACAAATGGGAATGTTGTATATTTGTTTGTATAATTTTACAGTGTATGTATTTCCCAAAAGGGAGGCAACAAAATATTTTCTGTGTTTTCTTCTTTAATTAAAGCACACGTTGTTTATTATAAGGCTGCATTAAAGTTCTTTCACTCTATTATAACAGGAGACTGGCTCGCTCTACACTACTGCTTATCCCCTTGTTTGGAATTCACTACACGGTGTTTGCTTTTTCTCCTGAAAATGTCAGTAAGCGGGAGAGACTAGTGTTTGAATTGGGACTGGGATCTTTCCAGGTGATTATACAGTGAATTCTGCTTTTGTTAAAAAGAAATCTCTATTCATTATAACCACTTTGCATGCACAGTTCTCAGACTGTGTGTTTATTTATGTATATGTTTTGTATACCAGGATTTTGGTTTTGTTTGTCTGTCTGTTTTAAATCCAGCTATTTTCTAGGATTTACTGAGGGATTTGAATGACATTATTTTTTTTCTCTCCCGTTTACCTAGGGTTTTGTTGTTGCTGTTCTCTATTGTTTCTTGAATGGGGAGGTAAGACTTTTAATATTTAACCTCCCCCACCCACCATCCCCATCCCATTTCCTTGTGGGAGTAACTGCTGTTCTAATCCTTCACTGTAACTCATCACCTACCATATTCCCTAATACTGTAGGCTGAGTCTCACATTATCTCAGCAAAAGAGGATGTGTGTTGGCTTTATTAAACAAAAACATTGGCCTTGCCAGAGATGACGGCTCAGATTAATGCTCCCTAGCAGAGGTCGGGACTATACTGGGCTCTTTGGTTATGTCATCCCAAGTGCAGAACTTTGCACTTGTCTTTGTTAAACTTTATACAGTTCTTGCTAGCCCACTCTTCCAGCCTGTTCAGTTCTCTCTGTAAGGTGAGAGATTCTCACCTTTCTGACATGTCCACCTCACCACCCAGATCGGTGTCATCAGCCAACTTGGTGAGAGTGCATTTAAACCCATCATCCAGATCATTTATGAAGATGTTCAACAGTGTGAAGCCCAGTACCAACCCCTGGAGGACCCTACTAGTGACAGGCTGCCAGCCTGAAAAACATTGGTCACCACCCTCTGAGTGTGGCCTTGCAGACTGCCAACCCAATCTATATCTTGCCAGTTTGCCTAGGAAGAGGCTGTGGAAACAGTGCCAAACGCCTTGCTGAAGTAAACAACATCCACTGCTCTCCCCATACCAACAGAAAACATTATTTTGTTGTAGAAGATAATCAGGCTAATCTGGTATGATTTGCCTTTGGTAAATCCTTTCTGGCTTTTCCCAATCACCTGCTTCATTTGGTTTGTGATAGTTCCTAGGTCTCATTCCATAATTCTCCCAGGGACTGAAATAAGACTAATGGGCTTGTAGTTTCCTGGGACCTCTAAAGAATAGAATAGAATAGAATAGAGCAGAGCAGAGCCCTTTTTGGGCCCTTCCTGTAGATGGGTATGACATATACCATCTTCCAGTCATCAGGGATATTCTCTGATCTCCCTAACTTTTCAGATATTGTAGATGGTGGCCTTGAAACAATGTCAGCCAGTTTTCTTAACATCTTGGGGTAGATTCCATCTGGTCCAATAGATTTATGAGGGTTGAGCTCTGCAAGAGGCCATAGACCAGACCTTCCTCCATTACTGGTAAGTCAGCACATGTGTTGTCATAGCTACTTGAACCTTTGACCTAGGATCCAGCTTCACCAGTAAAGAAAAAGGCCAAGAAGTTATTGAGAACCTCTGCCTTGTCAGCATTATTAGCAACTAGTTTCCCTGTGATGTTTAGCAATTGGCCTTTGTCTTCCCTGTGCTTCTGCTTTACTGCTCACACATCTGAAGAACCCTTTCTTGTTGTTCTTGACTTTTTTGGCCATTATCAGTTCTAGCTGAGCCTTAGCCTTCCTTACTGCAACTCTGCAGGCCCTAGCAAGGTACTTGTAGTCCCTAATGGGTATTTGGCTGCCTTTCCATAGCTGGTATGCTTCTATTTTGCTCTTAAGCAAAAGCTCATTGTTAACACAGCTGGTCCCTTGATCTGCCTTCTTCATTTCCCTTTGTAGGGGATGGACTGTTCTTGTGCTTCCAGGAGGTTGTTCTTGAGCCTTCTTCCCAGCACTCACAAGCTTCTTTGCCCTCCATGGATGCTTCCCACGGAATCCCTCAGAGCTAGGCTTTGAGCATACTGAAATTGGCTCTTCTAAAATCCAGAGTCTTTGTCCTACTACTGGTCTTCACTGTGCTCAGCAGTACCTTAAACTGCACAATGTTATGATCACTATATCCAAGATTACCATTGGTAGTTATGTTGTCAAGTAAGTTGTCTTGGTTCGTGAACAGTAAATCTAACATTTCTGTTTTACATAAAGTGCAAGTCCACCTCCTCTTTTTTCCCTCCTATCTTCCCAAAAGAGTTTGTAGCCTTCTATTGTGGTCTTCTGGTCATGTGAATTTTCCCACCAAGTTCCTGTGTTTTCTATAATATCATAACTCTCTGACTGGGCACAGAGCTCTAGTTTCTCCTCTTTGCTGCCCAGACTACATACATTGGTATATACAAACTTGAGGTGACTGGACTTAGGGTTCTTGCCCTTGGAAATGGTTGGGGGAGCATTCCTCACTATTCTTGTAGGTGAACCCATCCAACCTGCTGCTTATGAAAAAGCAGATGTCACAGCTTTGGACACTCCCCCTCGAGTTCATTAGTTTAAAGCACAACTCACTAAGTCAGCCAATCTGCTAGTGAAGATTCTCCTGCCTCTTCTAGGTAGGTGTATCCCATCTCTCCCCAATAGGCTGTATTCATAGAAGAATGTCCTATGATTGTAGAAAACAAAACCCTGGCAATGGCACCAGCCGCAAAGCCAGGTAGAGATCTGCATGATGCATTGACTTCTGCCCACACCCCTATTACCGACTGGCAAGACAGAGAAGATCACTTGGGCATCTGTCCCTTTCACTTGTGCCCCAGGGCTTTGAAGTCCTGCTTGATCTTGCCCAGGCTTTGCTTCACTGTGTCATTGGTGCCCACATGGAAAAAAAGTAGGGGATAGCAGTCTGTGCTTTTAACTAGTTGTGGCAATCTCTCTGTGACATCCTGGATCTTGGCTCATTGCAACCAGTAGACTTCACTTGACTGTATATCAGGCCAACAGACAGATGTCCCAGTGCCTCTCAGCAGAGAGCCACATGCTACTAGCACTCACCACTTCCTTTTGCAGTTTTTAGTATGTGCTGCTTGTACAGTGTCTCCCTGTGAATATTGCTCATAGGTTTTGACTGCTGACAAGGCTTAATATCTGTTGCTGGGTGGTACATAAGAAGGAGGGGAGTGAAGTGATAACCTGTTCCCAGGGGGTGACCAGAAACCATGGTGCCTCCTTCTCCAAGGTGCTGTCTGTTCTCTGTTGAAGCTCTACCAGCTCTGTCTGATAGTCCTTGGAAGTCACCACAGGGCTCTAATATTTCTTCTTGCAGTCTCAAACAATATTCTATTTCTTGTTCACCCTCCCTAACACAGCACAGCCTGCTCCTCCGCTTGCTGCCTGAATGACTCCACCAGAGCCCACCTTGAGCAGGGGGAGCTTCCACCCTGCTACACCCAGAAGGTGGGGTTACAGTCTGTGCATCCCTCTACCTGGACAGCTGCTTCCCTGATAGGAAGCTCTGTTTCGGTGGCTGCCTCCACTCTTCCCAGGTTAGCCTGGCTAGGTGGCTGATTCCTGTCTGCTGCAAAGCGCAGCTCTTGCCTGGTCTCTACCACCATGCTTCCAAAAACCTCAAAGCACTGTCTAAGAAACCCTTGTAACTCCTGGGAGACCTCAAGCTGTTTGGTAGGCTTGCACAGTCACCAGCTAGCTCAGGTGACCATCAGGGCAACAGCCTAAGCCTGCAGGTGAGCAGAGCAGGCAGCAGTTCGACAACTGGCAGAGTGCACAGCCCTTCCTGCGCGAGCTGTCACATAAACTGCTGATGTTGCTCCCAATGGATGTCATGCCCTGTTGCTGATGCTACACCCAACAGATCCCATGTCCTGTTGCTGATGCTGCTCCTAACAGAAGCTGGTCCTGGTCCTGTTTGCCCTCCTGGTTGGGTGCTCCCCAAGGAGCTGGTTGTATGCACCTTCCTACAGTTTGATCTGGCTGTGGGAACAGCTGGCACCACCCAGCTCTTGCCCACTCCTCTCATGAGACCTGATTTCTGCTGGTTGGTCCTTCCACACACAGCCCAAGGGTGTCAGATGCCCAGAAGCCCCCTCAGACACCCCCAGGGTACCTCGTAAACCTCACTCTCCTCTCAGCAACTGCTGCTGCTTCTAGTGTCAGCTTCCCATGATTGCTTCTTTTCTGATTCACCCATTGTGATCTGAAAATTGAAATTCCCCTGCCTTTCTTTGTCACACTGAAAACCTGAGATAATTTTTTTCTGAATTAATGGAAAAAGACTCCCTCCTCAAGGCTGCCTTAAGAGGAATATGTAGAGTTCATCCATTCTTTCCTCCACTGATATACATCTATTGTGCAGTCCAGCAGGAGAAGACTTCTTCTAAAATCACCTTCTTTTGTTCTTTTCAAGGAGGCTGAGACCATTTATTTCTACCAGTTTTAGTGCAGTATATGTTCTATGCTTGTTCACATACACCATGCAATAGCTGGTCTCTAGTACAAAAGGTCTCTAACTCCTTCATCCTTCTCCGATCACCATAACAAATCTCTTCAAGTTCATTAAACAATCTTATAGGTCATCTTTGCTTATGGGCTTAGTCAAGGTGACTGTTAAAGGACTCAAAGGTAAATGTTAAAGCATTACGCGTGGCTCAGTCCCACGTAGCTCAGAAGGTGAATTCTGGATCATGCCTTCCTGGAGTTAGTGGCTGCATTGATACTTCACTAGCTGGCATTACTGGATATCCACCTCTCCCACCTGCAACTGTTGTTTCATTACCTTGCGTGAGTGCTAAAGGAATAGCCAAATGGTCTTGTCTAAAACTCATATAGAGATAAGCACTAAGTGTGTCAGATTTCCTGTAACCCCTTGGAGGGGCGAGGGCTGTTCTTTGCCAGACTAACACAACCAGATTAATTAAAACCATTTTACCTCTCAAGGCATTAGAGAATGACTTGTTCTTCCACTAAATTACTTAGTATAAGAAAGGGCTTACAGATGCAAACACTATTTTCTTTTTACAGAGGTTATATACCCCATACTCTATCTAATCTATATCTATCTATGCTCTAACCAAACCAGAAATTTAGAGGTACTAGAAGGAGAATGTAAGTTTTCCAGTTGGACTTTTCCTCCCTGTAGTTAGTGTCCATACAGTTGAACCACTTGTTTAGCATTTTGTCACATGCTGATCCATTTTGACAGTTATACTAGTCTAGGAAAATCTAGCAATGACTGTTAAAGACACGTACACCTTTGACACAGCAGCTCATTGGAGACTGGAAAAATATATTGAGAAAATATCTCTGCATATTTCCTTGTTCTTATGCTATTTCATTCAGAAATATGCTACAGGCTACTGATCAGAATGGGTAACAGACTGAGTAAATGTTTGTCTGAGCTAGTATGGTCTTGTATTAAATCCTTACTATCTTATGTGTATATGTACACACATGCACACCTAGCAAGATTGCCAGGAATTTGGTGATGTAGAAAAGCTTTGAATTATTTGCTCACTTTCTAATTGGACTTCTGACCATGGACTGTTTTACTGTTGGTGATTTACTGTGGGTGCCCATCAAAAAAAGCTCAAGGGAAAGGAGGCTGTCATAGATGTATATGAAACCAAGAGCTGTCATCTGCTTAGAGGTGATCTGAAAGCAGGAGGCAAAGTTTTCAGTAGACGTGCATCCATTAATGGCAGGTGAGAGACAAGCTGCCTTTGTGGACAGGTTATCTCATTACTGTCTAGCACCTTTTTGTTGCTGGTTTCTTTGATTCCCTGCTATGTATTTGGTACTGGCCATTGATGAAAACAAGATATTTTTTTCCAAGAAGCTAGCTAAAGAACCGTGTTGGAGTTAGTGTTGAACAGGTCTTCTATGCATCTCTGGGCTGATCCTAAATTATCTGAAGTCAGAGACACAGAACCCAGGCTGTTATTCCGACTGCAGGCCTGGACCTCTTTCAGACATGGAGAAGTTACTTCAGATTTTGCTGAAGCGAGGAGTTTAATAATAGTCTTAAAAATAGTTCTGTCAAATTGTGGGGTTTTTTTCTAAACTTGATAATTTGTCAGCATGTCCTCGAGCGGCTAAGTACATAAAAAATGACCTTTTGAAGTTTCTCCCTAAAGGTGCAATCAGAAATAAAGAGAAAATGGAGGAGCTGGAAAGTCAACCGGTATTTTGCTGTGGATTTCAAACATCGTCATCCTTCTCTAGCGAGCAGCGGAGTGAACGGGGGGACACAACTCTCCATTCTGAGCAAGAGCAGCTCTCAGATTCGGATGTCCAGCATAAATGCAGAGAACCTAGCGACATGAGCAGCTAAGAAAAACAAATCAAACAACAAGCAAACCAAAAACCATCCCTTTAAAAAGAAAAAAAAAATCATAGTTTTGGTGGTGGTGGAGGTCTCCTTTCCTTTCCTTTCCTTTCCTTTCCTTTCCTTTCCTTTCCTTTCCTTTCCTTTCCTTTCCTTTCCTTTCCTTTCCTTTCCTTCCTTTTCCTTTTCCTTTTCCTTTTCCTTTTCCTTTTCCTTTTCCTTTTCCTTTTCCTTTTCCTTTTCCTTTTCCTTTTCCTTTTCCTTTTCCTTTTCCTTTTCCTTTTCCTTTTCCTTTTCCTTTTCCTTTTCCTTTTCCTTTTCCTTTTCCTTTTCCTTTTCCTTTTCCTTTTCCTTTTCCTTTTCCTTTTCCTTTTCCTTTTCCTTTTCCTTTTCCTTCCTTTCCTTTTTCCTTTCCTTCCCAACATTTCCTTGATGTTTGTAGAGGTGAAAAAGCAAAGGAAATGTGTACATACATATCTTTTTAGCAGTCACTGTAAATACCCAACTGTACTCAAGGCCATTAATGGAAACCCATTGAAAAGATAACCAACAGGCCAAGCCTACCCACTCAATGATTTACATTTCAGAGCATCTGCAAGTAATCCGTTGTCAGTCAGAAGTAACAAGTGATTGCTGTGCAGTTGTGATCCTTGGTTGCCAAACTGATACTAACCTGTGAATGGACATGACCATTGTTATTTTTCAAGTTGTTTTCCATTTTGGTTTGGATTTGCCTTTTTTTTTCCCTAGTCAAACATATCTTAGCCTGTCCCTGTCTTTTGGCGTGCTAATTTCCGCAGTGTTTCTCTTTTGAGTCTTAGGATGGAGCTAATATGCTGGGGTTAATCAAACCAGCTGATTCAGGAAGAACTCTAGAAAATGATGTTCATGGCTCAATTTAGTCAGATGTTGCCAGTGGACTTAAAGAAACTGCTGTGCCAATGTGAAGCTGCATAGCTACCATCAATCAGTGGGGGGACTCCAGGAAAGAGAGATGGGATTGGCTGTCTTTTTCCATACCCGGGGACACTTCTGAGAATGCTTTATGGTCTAGCTCAGCTGTGAATTTTAGAAAAGGGCCATGCAGTTGAGATACAGCTGTATTTTTAGCATTGACTATTGATTAATAGATTGATTGGATTGTTTGAATCCCTCTCACCTTAAGAGCAAAAGTCAATTCCAGGATGGCCTTTCCCTCCAGATAACCTTGAACCCTCTGCATCCGTATCCAAACATGGCATGTTTCTGGGTAGTGCTGTCACACAGAGTGTGGTGCCTTTGCAACCTGGTGGACTTCTGTGTGTTGACTCTTCCCTGCCAGAGCACGAGGCGCAAAAGTGATCTGGCATGATCATTTTGGAAGGTAAAAGTCACCTGCATTTGGTGAGCAAACTAAACTGAACAAGAGGATGATACAGAAGTGTCATGGCTTAACCCCTGCTGGCAACTAACCACCACACAGCTGCTCGCTCACTTCCCCCCGGTGGGATGGGGGAGAGAATTGGAAGAGTAAAAGTGGGAAAACTCATGTGTTGAGATCCCAGTTTAACAAGTAAAGCAAAAACCACATGCACAAGCAAAGCAAAACAAGGAGTGCATTCACTGCTTCCCATGGGCAGGCAGGTGCTCAGCCATCCCCAGGAAAGCAGGGCTCCATCACACCTAACAGTGACTTGGGAAGGCAAATGCCATCACTCTGAATGTCTCCCTCTTCTTCCTTTCCCCAGCTCTATATTGCTAAGCATGACACCATATGGTATGGAATATCCCTTTGCTCAGTTGGGGTCAAGTGTCCCACCTGTGCCCCCTCCCAACTTCTTGTTGGGAGCCTGCTTGCTGGTGGGGTGGGGTGAGGAGCAGTAAAGGCCTTGACTCTGTGTAAGCCCTGCTCAGCACTAAGACATCCCTGTATTATCAATGCTGTTTCCAGCATGAATCCAAACCAGCCCCACACTAGCTACTGTGAAGAAAATTAACTCTATCCCAGCCAAAACCAGCACAGGAAGGAAAAGATAAAGACTTTGTATGACTTCCCACACCTGGCAGTTGTTTCTCTCTTTAGATATTCTGTTTGTTTAACCACCAATGGTCTTACTGATTTTATTTGAGAGGAACTAAAATGTTCTTTCAACCTTTGCCTTGTTGTTAAAGCCACGACTGGTACATATCTAATTCAATCAAATGTCAATGATGTCAATTCTTAAAAGTCTTTATACAGTGCATAAAGGCTTTGAGGACTGTCTTAGCACTCACTTCATTTTGGATTTATGAACTGAGATATATATATAAATATATCTATACGTGCGTGTATGTGTATGCATATATTAAAAAAAATGAAAATGACATTTACAATGTGAAGTTTTGAACTGAAACTAATAGTAACCAGGAAATTCAAAATTCAGGCTTCTTCTCTGGTGTTAGTTGACATGATCGTGAACTAAGAAAAAAAAAGTGAAAGATTTGGAGTTTTAGTGTCAGCTGAGTGTGAGCTTTTAATTTCACTGGTTTTTGTTAGTTTAGGTAAAAAAAGTTTTAATGTCATTTTAAGCATAGGTTTTTAAAAATAATGCTAGTTTCCTTATTTTTAAAAGGAGAAAAAAAAGGTCTCAGAAGGTTGTGAAAGAAATATTAATTATAATACTTAACACTTATATAGTGCTTTATGGGACATAATCTGCTCTCAGTTGTAGCAGTGTAAATGAATGTAAAAATAATTTGAAACAGACAGAAATGTTGAGGTTTACTTCATATTTGTACAGGATCATGTTCTTAGGAGTTGCTTACACCCCTTTCAGGTGAAATCTATCCTTGCACAGAGGACCAGCAAAAAGGTTTAAATCACTTACATCACACTCCAGTACCTTAAGTGGGAGTTAAATGATCCAGACAACTTTTTTTTTTCAAGTCTTCAGCACTGGTTTGCTGCTCCAAGAATAGAATTTGTCCCCCTCTACCAGACTCTCTGCAAAAGTCACTGAAGTATTTTTAACTGATAGATTGGAGCTTCCTCTCATTAGATGCTGCTAAAAGCTATTTTAGAAAGTTTCCCAAGGAACCATGCACTTTGCAGTCCAGAAAGACGTGGGGAAAGTCCAATCTATCAGGTAAATGCATACTTAGACATTTTTTAAATGAGCATATCTAATGGTAGATGAGCAGATAACATCTAGTTTTGTATTTTCTGCAGTATGGGCGTTCACAAAGTATTATATTGACAATACTGTAAGTGTATTATTTAAAAGATCAAAAAGTATATTTTGCATGAATGGCTAGTAGCCAATTTTCAAACATTAATAAATTAGAACTTTTGAGTAAAAGGTGTTGAATAACTGCTTCTAGCTGGACACTTTTTGCCATGTTTCAGTCTGGAGCAAGAAGTTGTTTGGAACTTTCGTTGTTTTGTTGTTGAGGTTTTTTCTGAGCTTACTTTTGGATTCTGTTGTTTTCCTGGCTGTCCTACAGTGCTCTGCAATTTGAGTTGGTGGATCTCAGCCCAGTGCCTCGTGGGCAAATGTCCACATCACCAAAACCACCCTCCAATCATGCACACTGAAGACCAGGTCCTCAGCTAAATTAAAATCAGTACAGAAAACTGTTGCTATTGTTAGAACAAAGCCACTTCACTTTGCCTTGGGATTTGGCCTCAGCACATTACCGTTACTATTATTTTTTGGCAGTCGCAGCAAGAAAGGCCAAGGACTGAACAGTCATGAAAATTTGGACTTACCCCTTGAATTCCTAGAGCAGCGCTCAGGGGCAAGCCAAGTTGGGAAGGCAGTGGAGGGTAAATTTCTGCTGTTACAGTCCCTGTGTTTCTTGTTCAGTGGACAAATTGAAGTCTTCAGTACCTTTCACCAGCACTGAATTTACTAAAAGAAATGGTATCTCTCAACATATTTAATGTACAATATATTGTACAAGTAACCCTCTTATGATTTTTTTTTATTGGCAGTGTTGATGCACTTGCAAATGTGACTTTCCTTAGTCACTCAGACTTTCTTATCATACTTCAGGTGTATATAGTTATCTAAACCAGACTCTGATGTCATCGCACAAATTAGCTCTTAAGAAATCTTTATGTTGAATGTAAGCTGAAGATGCTGGACATGCATGGCCACCATTCACAGTGGCTGTCATTTCTATTTGTTTCAGGATGGAAGAAACCAACAGAGGGTTTGCTTCTCAGTGTGTGTAAATAGCAATTGAGTGTAACAGCGCTTTGTTTGATTTTTCACTGTGAAATATATTTTGGAGCTAGAAAGGCTATGTTATTAAAAATAATACATAATTAAAAGAAAATCAAGTGTGCAGTGCTCCTTGAGCCATTTTTTCTACCATGTCCATAGCGTATTTCTTGTCTAATTTTCTTATTTTGCTTTTGTAAATGTACAAAACTTTTCTGTGTTGCAGCTTTTGTGACTGTTTACTGTATCTAGCTGCTGTTTGATTATTGACTTTTTGATGTGGAGTGCTGGTACTACAGGACAATTAGCATCCCCAAATGAAAACAACAGCCTATATTCCAAAGGACAAGGCTTGTTTCATTGCTGCATGGTGGCCTCACTTCCTTTTACTTTCACCTACATATAGTATATCTGGAACTCAGAGCCCAGGTAATGAAACTGAAATGCTCAGTTGTGGGAGGTTTTATTTCATAGAAGAAAAATACCCAAGTTCCTCTGCCTCATTTAAGTACTTGTATTTGAAAGCCAGGTGTTAAAATGAGGTGGTGGGAGAAGGGAGAGAGATGAAGGCAGGTGAGTCCAGAGTGAAATGCAAAAAAGGTGCAGTTTGGAAGTTAAATTCAGACACTGTATTTGGTGTCCAGCTCCTCCTTTTCAGCAGCTGCCCATCACTGCAATTCAAGAACTGTGTCTTGCAAGTACAAGGCTAAATAACAACCAGAAGTGGGCAGGAATTTACTGTGCCAATAATTCGAGATTACATTTGCAAAGATGACTCTCCCTAGACTCTGTCCATCCATGGCAAGTGTGAGATATCTTCTG